CCAGGCTCCCAGGTAAGCCGCGCCGGGGCGCCGCGCCGCCAACTGTTGGGAAGAAACTTTGTCGGGCAGGGAGCCGCCGTCCTGCGTCTGGGAGGTGCCGGGTGGGAGGGGAGAGTGCGGGGAGCCCCCAGGGCACTCCCAGGTGGGCGACGCGGCGCTGCCCCTTTGGAGCTGCTTTAGAACTGCGAGCGCCACCCCGCGCGCGCCGCACACAGCGGCCCGCAGCCCGGCCGAGGAGCCGGGTGTCTGCGGGCTCCCCTCCCTCCCCTCCCCTCCGGGACTTAGGAGGAGCCTTCCTCTCCTGTGTAAACAGACTGGCCCGTCTGCTGACCGGGGCGCGGAGCGCCCGCGCCCAGTGCGCAGGCAGGGTGCCGCTGCCAGCCCCTGCGTTTGGACCAGGGCTCTCCGTTCCCCGGGCACAAAGCGGCCCTTGTGGCCGCCCGGGGGTGGGCAGGCCTCTGGGCGGCTCGGAGCAACACCGCCGGTGCCCCGGCCCAGGGGAGGCAAAGGGCAACTAGAGGCACGAGATCTGGCGTCTTCCTTGAACCAAAAGTTGGGGGGCCATTCTAACCGAGGAGGACTGGTCTCCTGGAATTGCGGGAGTCCGGGGCCCCAGAGCGAATTCTCGAGTTTCACTGCTCCTCGGCCAACCGTCTTCCTTTAAAGATGCAATCTCCCTCCCCCTCCCCAAACCGCTGCATACCAAAGGGGGGTGGGGGGAAGGACTCACGTCCCCAAGTCTGGGCCCACCAGGGACTTCCTGATCGGATTCCTTCTGCCAGGCTTTATCTTGCTATTTAGAAAACTGCGCCTCACGTTGCCCCAACTGTGGAGGATTCTGGGACAGAGGGCAAAGGGTGTGAAACTGCAGCAGGCAGCCCCTGCTGTGGACCCTGCCGCCGCGTAAAGAGGACCCCCCACCCCCAATCCCGCGTTTAAGTTTTCGAGTTGGCAGTTGGGAGGCCCCAAAGGAAAGATGTTCAGTTTGCCGCTGGAGCTGCCCGGCTGACTAGCTCTCCAGCCCCTCCCCCCAACCCCTAAGCTGGGAGAAAGCTCCAAACTTTCTCCTTCCCCAGAGGAAAGACTGGGAGTTGAGGGGCTCAATTCACTTCCAAACTTCAGATACAGGATTGCTCTCCGGAACCAAGTGGTTGCCTGGTTGCCCGCCGGGAAGACTGTTCCCCACACCTCCCCGCCCCCCACGGTGGCTCATTTACATGAGGGCTGCCTAGGTTTACGTCGGAGAACCCGGGAGGCATCTGGGCAAACAAACACTCCGTTCAGGCCCTCATTCAGATTTAATACTGTAGCAAGGTTTCTTTGATGGGAAAATAATCACTGCAGAGCTTGGAGTGGATCAGTGCTTTCCACACACCCATCTGGCAGCCAGTGCCCCACTGATGTTTTCATCGGTCCCCAGGGAAATGCAGATCCCCAACTTTTCTCTCTGTGTCTCTGTCTATCACACACACACTCACACAAGTGCGCACTGCCAATGGCTCCTGCTTTCCGGGGACAGCACTTTGACTTGAAATTATATTCCAATAACATTAATGACTTATTTGGGGGGGAGACAACTTTTATTAAAATCTGGCAATCTGTGTTAATTCTTCTGTTCCCTCTTTTTCTGACTCTTCTAATTTTTTTTTTTTAATGTAACTTTTTCTTGTGAATCGAGTAAGGTTTTGCACAGCAGATCACCCGTTTTCTGTTCATCACTTCGGATTGCAATGTCACAAGGTCACATCAGGTATCCCACTTTCTCCCTGTGTTTCCTGTTTACCTTCCTCCCGGCTGTGTTCCCAGCCCTTCTAAACTTTGACCTTTGTTCCATCCACATCTCCACTGACTGGTTATGCCAAGGTGTGCTTACCTGGCTGCAGTTCTCGTTCCCCTTCCAGGCCTGTCTATTGTTTGGTTGAAGATTGAGCCCCCGTGGGTGAGTTCCATTCCAGACCTGGAGGGCAGTTAAAGGCCATTGCCTCAGGGGTGCCTCCAGCCTTTTGAATCCTTACTTTCGTTTTGTTTTCAAATCTTGGTATCCGGTGAAATCCCAAAGTCTGGGAACTGCAAAAGTAGTTGAATTAGAAGTTCCCCTTCCAGGTTGACATTCTGGGATTCTAATAAAAACTCAAATATTTCCAATTGCAAAGATTTACTTGAGCCGTCATTTCATGCCAGCAGTGTGATTTTTCTTTCCCAAAGTTCACATCCAGCCTCCCAGTGCTCTCCGCTTTCCCACCTGGGCCCCAGGGTCAGTGACTCACCTACGGTCCTTACCCTTCAATGGGCGTGGGGAATCAGGGATCGCTTTTGGCCCAGTGCCCATTGCACCTCAAGCTCACTGCCGTTGAGTCAGTTCTGACCCATAGCGACCCTATAGGACAGTGTACAACTGGCCCTGTGTGTTTCTGAGCCTCAGCTGTTTACTGGAGCAGAAAGCCTCCTCTATCTCTCACAGAGTGGCTGGTGGGTTCAAACTGCTGCCCCCTACCCCTTGGGGTTCGTAGCCCAATGTGTCATCAATCCACTAGGCCATTAGGGCTTCCTTCACTTATGGTAGGTGGGAGGAAAAGGCACGATGAGGTGGGCTTATCTCCAACTCCTCCAGGCTTCCTCTTTCCCCGTGTCCATCTCTGTGATGGCAGGTTCATCTTCTGCAGTTTGCTGGCTGAGCTCAGCCAGCCGGCAGTGGGTCCGCCACGTGGTGGGAAGAATGAGTGTGCTGGTCCCTCCCCTCTGGACCTCACCATCTCCCTCTCCCTTGGTGCCCGGGAGCTCCGTGTGGCTTCCCAGGTCAGAGGCTGGCCCACGTCTGTGTGATTGCTCCTCGTGCCCCAGAGTTGCAGAAGCAACTGCAGGAGATTGGCATCTCCTTTCCTACTCCTTCCTTCTTCTTTTTGGGTGACAAGTACTTTCTCCAGAGCTCGCTGCTGTCTCACCGCAGGGACAATGATCTGAAAGACAACCCTCCGTTACCTGGGGAAGGGAGGCGCGTGCCCGCAATGTCTTTGCAGGCTGTCATCCCGCCCTGTACCTTTGCACCACACTTTCATCTTTGCACTTAACCCAGCAGAAAATGGACATTTCGTTTAAGGGGGGCTCCCTTTCAATCATTCCCCGGCAGGCAGATGAGGGAGTCAAGGTCTCTCATTACCCCTTGGCTCAGAGCCTCCTGGACAGGGTCCTGAGGTAATGAATGGTCTTCCCACAAAACCAGGGAAGGCTTTCTCGGAGTGAAGCCTTTCCAAACGAGCCCTGCTCTTTAAAATGGAGGAGGGCAGCATTGATCTGGCTTTGTGAGTCATGTTTGCTCATGTTAGTTTTTTGGAAAAATCAAGTGTTCGTTTTAGGAATGCTTGCGCTGCATCCTAACCCCCACCCCACGGCCCCTGAGTCAATTCCGACTCACCTGTGTGGGAGCAGATAGCCTTCTCTTTCTCCCGGGAAGTTGGTGGGTTTGAATGCTGACCTTGCTGGTAGTAGCCCGGCACTTGATCCTCAGCACCACCAAGACACCTGAATCCTAAAAACCAAGACCCAGATTCATTGCCATCAAGCTGATTCAGACTCAGAGAGACCTGACAGGGCAGGGTAACTGTCCCTGTGGGCTCCCAAGGCAGTCATTCTTCACGGGAGTAGAACGTTTCTTTCTCCCGAGGAGCAGCTGGTGAGTTTGAATGGCTGGCCTTGTGGTTGGCAGCTCAGTGTGTAGCTTACGACACCACCAGGGCTCCTTTCTAAAGTGGCCTCAATTTGGAATGTATGCACACACACGTGCATGCACATACACAGACCGCCACGCCCCAGGGTCTGTGATGGGCCTGCTTGGCCTTTGGCATAAGTCGCCAGACCTCTGTTTAGAAAGGATAGGACCATGTGATGCCAACAGCTGGCGTAGTTTGTAGACTGCTGTTTACTGTATGGATTTACCTTTTAACTCTTTATCTTGGGGCTGGGGAGGCTTTTTATAAAGAGGGCTGAGGCAGAAGAGGGCAGGGTCTAATTAGCTCTAATTAGTATTCCTCTCCTGCTTGTTCTCCATGCTTATTTAGCTTCTGAGGCAACTGGAGAATTAAAATATCTAAGTAGTTTGGCAAAAGGCCCCTTTGTGCCCACTTGTCCTGGTAACTACTTTGTTTTACATCAGCCTGGCCATGGAGGTAAGCATTCTGAGCAGCCTGAATGCCATCAGGGGTGTGGGACAAGTACACAGGACTTGAATCCTGGTGTCCCTTGAGGGTGTTGGGGTACAGCTGGCTTGATGGGAGGCCATATTTCCCCAGGGGTTCTTGTTGGCTCAGGCTGAGAGCTCTGGAAAGCCCTCTGCAGTGGGTTGTTTTCATCGTTCCAGTGGAACAGGATCAATGGCCTTTGTAGGTAGAAAGAAAGGCGCTCTGGTGGTACAGTGGGTTAGGTGCTGGATTGCCAACCCAAAGGTCTGCAGTTCAAACCCACCATCCACTCTACAGGGGAAAGGTGCCTGTGCTCTTCTGGATAGATGACAGTCTTGAACACCCTATGGGACAACTCTACTTTGTCCTATAGGGTCCCTATGAGTTGGGACCCTATAGGACAAGGCATTGACTTGACAGCCATGAATTGAATTGTTTTGTTGTTATTGTTTTGGTTTAGAGGAGTCATGAAGGTGGTGTGTAGTGGTTAAGTGCTTAGCTGCCAACAGAAAGGTCTGCGGTTCAAACCCACCAGCCACTTCGCTGGAGAAAGACGCAGCAGTCTGCTTCTGTAAAGATTTACCGTCTTGGAGTCCCTTGGGGCAGAGCTAGTCTATCTTACAGGGACGCTGAGTCGGAATTGATGCAATGGAAAAGGGTTTAGTAAATAAAGCAATACTTTACTTACAGGCCCCCAGCCCTGGTGGTGTAGTGGTTAATTGTCAGGCTATGATCCGCATGGTTGGCCATTCAAATCCACCAGCACCTGCGAGGGAGAAAGACTGGGCTTTCTACTCCCACAACCAGTTATGTCTCGAAATCCACGCAGGGTGGCAG